TCACCACCTGCCATTTGACTCGGTCTTATTGTTGAAGAGGGTCTTGTTCGGCGATATACTTTTTGTGATGTATCATATTGAAACTAGCGTCTCGAGAAATAATGAACAAATCAAAGAAATTGGCTCTTTTTTGCCCGTTGGCCATTTGGTTTTTAAACATTATTTCGTTATATATTTTTTTTACACATTATCTTTTTATGACTCATCACCTTTTATGTTCTTTTATAAAATATTTTTGTGTTAATGTTACTGGAAAGCTATGATCAAAGGCACAAGTAATATAAATGTGCAGCTTTCAAGGACAGTCCAGCTTTGTAAGTCACCAAACTTTGGCACCATTTTCTCGCTAATTCTACTTCTGAGATCAGACGATCTCCACCTCTTTTAAAGGCAAACATTTCGATTTTTTTAAAAATGTATATTTTTTCCTTCAATAGCAAGACGAATGAGCAAACTTTAAGATGATACCAATAACTCCTTATTCCCCAAAGTTGACAAGCGTGTGATTCTATCGGATCGTGATACATTTGATCAACATACTTTTATCTGTACATGTATCACAAACGGGGTAAAACTGCAAGTCAGTATGACTTTTCATGGTTGGTTTAAAAATGTGAATGTCCTTTTGGATGAAGGCAAAGGACACGCAAGCATTTTCATTGTGGTTTTGTGTAATGAATTATACTTCCCCACAATGTTTACTTTGGTTTAATAATATTTGGACAGAAGTTGTACTAAGTATGAATTCTGTCCTACTATAACCTTTGATATACACAAGATTTGAATAACATTTTGACTGCTATCTCGGGTTAGATTATTGACTTTGATTTTTTTAAATTGAAGAATGAGTTTAAATAGCTTTAAATGGCCACCATACTTTTCCAATGCATTGATGTTTTAGCAATATCCTTTTTTAAATATAAACAATCATGGCATTTCAAATGGTATTTTTATATATATTTTTGGTTTTAGAAATACACATCTTAACTTCCTTGTGCAAAGTCACCACATTAAATTTTTTTCACCAGTTCCGTAAAATGCATAAGATGGGATCTATCAGCAGATTGTTTCATATGTTTGTGTAGTGAATCTGTAGCCTGCCAGGGGTCATGTGAGGGAAATATACTAACAATGTTTGCAGCCTTTGTATTTCAAGGTAAACTCGTGAAAATCTCAGATTACTGCAATAGAAAAATATACTGTGATACTTCAGTTCCTGTCTGCACTCGAGAATTTTGCAAATCAAATTCACAACAGGGACGAACACTTTCGTTGTTGTTGTTTAGTGTATTGGCTTTACGCTCCATTCAACACTGTAAAATTATTTAGAAGGTGGGTTCCCGATTTCCACATTCTTTTATCGTTAGGACCTAGTCAGAAGGATGAGAGGGTGGTTGGCAGGTGTTCTGATGTGTTTTACTCCTACCGTCTGATCAAACAACTGTCGTCCTTCTCAGATATTCTCCTTCTTTTTTGTGTTTGTTACTCTCTTGGAACACCTCTTTTTTCGGTACTTATATGATCTAACTTTGTTGCAAGTGCCGTAAAACGTTCACGAAAACGAATGCAACTAATGAATGAAAAGCTGGAACGCCCAAAAGTAATTCAATTTCAAGAACGCCCTTCGAGAACTCAAACTAGAATAATCTTCTTTACGGTCCACTATGATACCATAGGAGCTGTAGGAGGGGCCCAGACACTGTGGCGTCGGATCGGCCTTCAGAGAGACGTCAGATTAAAATGTGCCTTTGAGAATAAGAGTGTTGTATCTCCACTTCTGGTCCAAACAGACTTATTACTACTGTCACGTCTTTTAGTCAAACAAAAACCCCATCCCTAAAGCGGTAATTTTGTGAGGTTTTCTCTCCGTTGACATAGGAATTTAGTTAACAGTTCAAACTCTTATGAAAACTGAAAATCTATTTTTTTTTGGTCAAAGATACTCCAAGAAAGCGGAGTTAGGGCACTCCTATTCTGTCCTGACCAGCACGAATGTATCATTTCAACAAACTGGTAATAGTTCCTCTTTCACGGTCGTTGTTTACCTTGATCGAAAATTGGCGATTGACAGTTCCAGTTTTTATTTTTAGGTCAATGATATCAAGAGTAGTAATGATACCATCGAAATCTGACTGGGTTTTTTTTTTTTGGTCTGTCTGTTTGTTTGTGACCTCATTCCCTCCCTTTTCATCTTTTTTTATCTATTCCTTTTTTTGCCTCTGTTCACCCCCCCCCCA